CTGATGCTGATGCTGATGATGATGGTGATGGTGATGGTGATGGTGATGGTGATGATGATGATGATGATGATGCTGATGCTGATGATGATGACGATGATGAGAGGAGGAGGATGAGGAAGAGGAGTAAGAAGAGCAGGAAGAGTAGGAGTAGGAGTAGGAGTAAGAACAGGAGTAAGAGTAGGAGGAGGAGGGGGGAGCAGGAGCAGGAGGAGGAGGAGGAGGAAGAGGAGGAGGAGGAGGAGGAGGAGGAGGAGGAGGAGGAGGAGGAGGAGGAGAAGGAGGAGGAGGAGGAGGAGGAGGAGGAGGGGGAGGAGGCATCAGGATGAGGGGGATTCTAGTAGCTGCTTTGCGCCATGGCCAAGAGGACGTTGTGAATTGTTCTTTGGATTTTTTTCGTCAGCGGCGAGGCGGCGAGGCGGCGAACTCCGCTCTAGCGAGAAGCTAGAAAGGGGGCACTAACTAGCGAATTGGCTGGCGGGCAATGCGGAAGAAGGGACGCTCATACGTCGAAGAGTTCGACGATGAGCAGCCGGGGGGGCAGCAACAGCCAGGCGCGCAGGGCCAGAGCGCGGTGGGCGGCCGTGGCGAACCACGGTGGTAAGGGTTGCTGGAGCTGGCGGGCGCGCGCAGTGGGACACCACGAACGGCAGGGGTACCGCGGCGCGCCGAGGAGTAGGCACAGCACTGAACCGTGCGGAGGCAGGAGCAACGCAACCATATGGCTGGTAGTGACAGGGGTATTGCGGAGTGACCGCCCAAGGGCGCGCCAGGTGACCAGGGGGCCGGGAGAGGTGGGGCAGGAGGCGCCGGGCGAAACGTCCCAGGCGCCCGCAGGCGGCGGGGCGGGACAGCAACGCAACGGGAAGAGGAAACGCGGGGCAGCCGGAAACAGGTGGCAACGCAGTCAGCTGGCTGGCAGTGACAGGGGTATGGCGGCGTGGCCGCCCGAGGACGCGCCAGGTGCCCATAGGGCAGAGAGGTGGGGCAGGTGGCGGCGGGCGAAGCGTCGCAGGCCCGCGCAGGCGGCGGGGCGGAACAGCATCGCAACGGGAGGAGGCAGCGCGGGGCAGCCGCAGAAGGAGGGGGGCACCGAAAGGTGCAGAAGCCGGGTAGCAACGCAGGGCGGCCCAATGGGCGGTCCGTCGTGGTGCCGTGTTCTTTGGAACAAATCATACCAGGAAAGGGGGGAGCAGGAGGAGGAGGAGGAGGAGGAGGAATAAAAGGAGGAGGAGGAGGAGGAGGAGGAGGAGGAGGAGGAGGAGGAGGAGGAGGAGGAGGAGGAAGAGGAGGAGGAGGAGGAGGAGGAGGAGGAGGAGGAGGAGGAGGAGGAGGAAAATGGGGGGGGGGTTGTGGAAGGCAGGGCGCTCTTCGCCGCCCAGCACACGCCTTGAGCGTTTGCAACTTGCCCTTCTCCCCCCGCGCGGCCTCTTCCGGGGGGCCGAGGGGGCGACGGCAAAGGGAGGCCCATCCCCAGTGGAAAGAAGGGTACGCGTGGCGAGGCTCAAGCCTTTCGGTGGGATGAGTTCGCACGGCACTGTCCCGGAAACCAGGGATGGCGCTTCGGGTAAAGGTTGCGGTGCCTCCTGACATTTCAGGAGAGACGGTGCCTACTGCCGATTCAGGAGTGACGGTGCCTCCTGCCGATTCAGGAATGACGGTGCTTCCTGCCACATTCAGGAGTGGGAACCTAGGTGTCGCTGTGACCGGTGCCTCCTGCCATCTCAGGAGTGGCGGTGTCTCCTGCTGTCTCAGGAGTGGTCGATGGTGTGTGTGTGTGTGTGTGTGTGTCTTCGCGGTTGATTGTGGGAGGGGCAGAAACTGTGCCAAATGAGTGCCGCTGTTGTGGTGGCGTTCGATATGCTTTGTTGTGGCCACGATCAACCACCCTGTTCAATGGGCGCGGTCAAAAGGGGAAACTATCGCATATTTGCGGCCGCGGGGCTGTGCCGCGCCCCTGCAACAATCAATGGGCATGTGTTGGGGATCTGCGTGCTGCAAGGGCGAAGCTCACGCTTTTTGGCGCTTACAGGCACGTGCAGTCACGGTGTGATGAAAAGAGGAAGACATTGTCGACTTGGAACAAAAATCGCACTGAAAGGAGAAATTTGCGACATTGCGGCGCGGGTAGGGGGAAACTGTTGCATTGATGCGGCGACGGTGTTTGGAAGGCTGGACAGGGAGCGCCGCCGCATGCTTCTGCGCGGGCCAAGCGCGCATGGTTGCAAAGATGAGTGTGTACAGGTGGCACTCGTGCAGTGTGGCTGTGACAGATGGATGAGGCGGATGTCCGCTTGCGGCCCTGAATGGGGGAACGTTGTAGATTTTTGCGGAGGCGGTGTCCGGGTGGCTGGAAGGAGTGACGTCACGTTTGCGTTGAAAAAGACGCCTTGTTCGCGTAGCGCCACCCTGGCCACTGCAATCCCAATCGGCATGGGAGCGACAATCGCAGTCGATATTGGGGCGTTCCTAGCTGCGGGGCGTCGCGCTGCAGGAGTCAGGAGCGCGTCGCTTCCCCGTTGCATCGATCGTCGCCCAGTGCTTGCGATGCTGTGGCGGTGCGCTGTATGGGGGTCCCAGAGTGAGCGGAGGGGTCTCCGCATGTGGAGAAGCAACGTCCATTGTGACACACTTGGTTGACGGCATGGACGTTGACAGGAGCAATGTCTGACTGCGGACTGGGCGTTTGTGGCTCGTGGGACACATGGGCGCGCTCGTGGCCGCTGTTTCCGCCAGACCAGGCGAATGGCTCGTAATGTGGGGGTCCAGGGCGTCCGATAGCGACGCCCCCGCTGGAGCGGCTGGAGAACCCAGAAAACTATTGCTGGATCGGCGCTGCATTGCATGCGGTTTTTGGCACTGCGCGTCATGCGGGACGCGGTTCGGTCAGCTCCAGTTGCGCCGGCGTTGTCAGAGACTGGTGGCGTCTCCATGGGCGGGGGCGGCGCAGTGGACAGATTTGGCCGGGGGGGCCAAATTTTGATGCCTTGCTATCCGTCGCTCTCCGCAAGGTGGAGGGCGACTTGCGGGGCGTGCTCGTTCTTGCCGCTGCGGTCTCGCATGTGTTCCAGGGGGTGGGCGCAGGGGGATGCCCGCGAGTTTCTGATGGAGCTACTGGGCCCAGACAGAGCGGAAGTGGCGGCCGTGCCCTTCCGCTTCGCGAAAGCCGAATCGATTCGCTGCGGACGCGCGCGCTGTGAAGGGCAGATAGGTTTGTGTCCGAGCGCAGCGTATGACTACTACCACCAAGATCGATAATAATCTACGATGCCATTTGGTGCAGTTTTGCTCTGGCGGAAAGCCTGTAGTCCCCGTCCCGCCGCGGGCGGCAGACGGGCTGCCTCCTCTCTCTTAAGGTCAGAAACAGAATTCATCAGAGCACGCGCGGTGGTGGTGTATAAAATTTTTGTTCCCACCACCAAGAAGTGCTGTTTCTGCTCCAGGAACTCCCCATGCCACGGCGCCTGCGAGCTGCGCCGCGCTCCTTTTCGCCGTGGCGTCGCAGCGTCGTCTGGCATGACCCTGTCCCTAACCCTTTTTTGCAGTAAATTATTGTTGCGGGCGGTGGTGGTGTATAAAAATTGGCTTCGCACTGTGGAGGGCGATCAATGGGGAGGAAGAGAGAGAAGCTGAGTGCAAAAACGCACATGAGCACGAAAAACAGCCTCAGAGGGCATCGCAGTACCGCGTGACGCAGTATGGGGAGGAAACGTGTTGTTAAATAGCTGCCAGGTGTCAAACATATGTTTCACATATGGTTTAAACATGTTAAAACATGTTTGAATCATGTTGAGAACATGTTTCCGACATTTTGAACGCATCTTTAATTCAATGATAAGACTGTTAGGGTGTCCATTGTCGTGGCATCTACAAAGATAGGCCCGGGGGAAACGCGGCCGCGGACCTGCGTGGAGGTGCCCACGCTGACGTCTAACAGCGCGCGGATCGCCGCTGTGCAGGGCGCGGTGCGCGAAATTCATGTCGCGGTTTTGAAATATATGCTGATTCTATCTGGAATTGCCCGCGAGTGCGCGGCCGCGCTTCCGCGAAAAAGGCCGCGCGCATGACGGCGCCGGGGGTTTTGCGGGCGCATTCTTAGAGCGCTGTTGGGTTCTAAGTGCATGTCGTAGTAGGCCTATAGGAATGCCAGGACGGTCGGTCACTGCTCAAAACGAACCTCTCGTCATGTTTCTTGTTTGGGCTTCCTGGATGGGGGATCCGAGTAATTAGATGGGTCGGAGGATCGCGCCGCATCGCCGATGCGATTCGATGTGGAGACCGTGTTTTCCCACGCCGTCGGCGCCGATGCGTCGCCAACATCGCTGCTGCAGCAACGATGCATCGGTGATGCATCGGCAATGCATTGGCGATGCGGTGCGATCCTCCGACCCTATCCACTCCGACCCCATCTAGGAGGCCGCTGATGTTGCAACCTCGGGGGACCTCGTCTGTCCTGTGAGTGTCGTGTCCAGCGCGTATTCGTCGCGGGGGCTCACATGGGCTCGACGCGGGTCAGCCGCGGATGCGACCTGGATTCGAGGATTCGACGCGGACTCGACGCAGACAGCGGCGCGATGGGACAGATGATCTTCTGAAGGTGCAGCGTAATTCTCGATGGCCCCTTGTCTCCAAGATCGGAGGAGCAAGATGTCAACGGCGGCGCGCGCGAGGGGGTGGCGCCAGGGATGGGCCTTGTGAACAGGCCGGGGGGGAGCTTTTAGAAGGCAGGGACCTCAGTTTTTAGAGGCGCCTGGATGCTTCTGCGGAGCCTTCCTGACAGCCCCTGGCGCCTTTAAGAACTGGCCCCTGCTTTCTGAGAAGCCCCCCCTGCCTTCTCGGAAGCCCCGCCCCCCTGGCCGCGCCACCCCCTTTGCGCGCGCCGCTCAGACCCTTGGCCTCCAAGATCGCAGTGGCAACAAGACATTTTGGCTCAAGCCGTTTGAGTCTCACATTATCACATTTGTGATTCAAAGACTCCTACGCAGCAGTTTGAGGATTACAGGATGGAGCCTGATCTGCATGAAACCGGCGTCTCTTTTAAGGAAGACTGGGTCATTCATCGCCACAAGGGCATCATCACCTGCACTTTTTTTGCTGCCGATTACGACCAACTTCGTTCTCGGTTGCGTTCCAAATTGCTGGAAGTGGTGCAAGCCAATCCGTGGATGCTTGGGAGGTTCAAGACGTGCAAGACGCGTATGGATTGTCCGACGACTGTGCCACAGAACAGTGATGAAACACTTCTTGATTCCTATGGGTTGTGGCTGCCTGATGGAGATGCAGGTGAGGGAGACTCCCGCGTTTCCCGTTCGAGTCCTTACCCGGTTCTGAACAAAGCTGTAGTCGATTGGTTAGGCCCCCTGGACGTGGCAACAACCATGAAGGCGTTCAAGAATAACCGCCCATTGTCTGAAAGCAGTCTCTTCCGCTTTACGATGTTGCGTGTCAACCCAGAGGAGTGTGCTGTTCTTTTCGGGATGTCTCACTACGTCGGCGATGCGCACACGTATTATCCGTAAGGGCCTCGCCCCATGCCGCCGGCCCCCTGTCTCGGATAATGGGAGATGCACAAGCTAAATCATGAGGTCTGGGCGCCGCCGTGAAGCAGTGTCGGGACCTGTTTGTTTTTCGACCCTGACCCTACGGATCTGTGTGAGGGGTGCCGCCGAATTTCAGAAATGTGGCAAATCCCTTGTGTTTTTGCACCTTGACCTGCGGATCTGCGTGGGGGGTGCCACCGGATGTCAGAAATGTGGCAATTCCCCAGTGTTTTTGCACCCTGACCCCGCCGATCTGCGTGAGGGGTGCCGCCGAATTTGAGAAATGTGGCAAATCCCTTGTGTTTTTGCACCCTGACCCCGCCAATCTGCGTGAGGGGTGTAAATTTGTATCCACCCCAGAAATTCAGACAACACGCTCAGGGCGTGGTAAAAATGCTCGTTTTGGGCCTCCCCCCCTCGCGAGGTCCATCAACAAGGAACAGTAAGCAGCAATAAGCAGAACTGTAACAGTGGAAACTAGAAGCTGCAAAGAAGCAGAACTGTAACAGTGGAAACTGGAAGCTGCAACTGGTATATGAAACTGCGAACCTTAGGCCTGCAGCCTGGTGGCCCCACAAGGGGGCCGGCAGATAAGATCCTTAATATGTTAGGGCCCGAACAAAAGGTCGAGGCGATGGAGATTCGCCGTGTAATAGAAGGGAGAAGGTGCCAAGAAGATATATCAGCGTCGATCCGTAATGTTACAGGCAAGCAAGCCGACAGTTTCAATAGATGTGTCCCTTTGCATTTGGTCAAATCAGTGTTGATGAGCGTCTTCAAGAAGAAGGGGGGGCGCGCGGGTGAGACTGGCCTTTTTTTCTTGGACAATGAGAAGATCGCCGATAGAAAACGTGTAGAGCTGCAGGGGATTGCCGAGACAAATGCGAGTGGAAAGCAAAGTATGGCTCAATTTGTTTCCACAAGCGATATCATAGCGTCTGATTTTGCTGTTGCTAGTGAAGCAGATGTCTTCATTTACGTAGTGAATTTCCGAAATCGTGTTTCTGTCATGAAATCAGAGCCCATTCCGCTCTGTGACGACTCGGATGCTGGTAACTATGTGGCGGGCATTCCGTACGACCGTCCTTCGTACATCAGCCCAGTGAGAATCCGCGAATCTCTCATACCCAGAAAAGACGCTCCTTTGATATGCAAGAGTTCTCCCGATAGTTTCCCGGGATTGTTTCGTGTGATTCAAATGTCGTGTCTCAGCAATTGGGTTACATTCCCATTACATTTAGATGGAGGAGATGCTAAGACGTTATTGCATTTGCCGTGTTTTAACTTGAATATGTCTGCCAGCAATTACTTGAAGAATGCGTTTGAGCTTGCCTACGTTTTCAGAGCGACGCCTGATCGGTTAGGTTTCATGGTGGTCTCGAATAGTTCTGTGGCAGCAACGTACGCGAACGAATCGTCCATTCTCGGGTGCGGAGTATTAGAGGCAGGGGCAGTTTTCGACAATGCTGCGTATTGATGTAGCAACGCTGGTTGCTGTTCTTGAAGTAATTCCGTTTTGTGCAGGGTTGGAGTGCATTGTCTAATTTCTTCATCCAGCACGAGCATGTGTTGCCTTATCCTGCATACCGTCCTCAAGTTCTTTTTCAGGTTTCGGAAATCGTTCGCATTGCATGTTTAGTTGTCGCCCTTGTTTCATTCGTGCCTTGCGGCCCCCCCCCCCCCGGACATGTGCGTCCATCGCGCAGCGAGCATCCCCTTACATGTGTACGAGCCCCTCCCATCCTATACGCCGTTTGTGCAATTTTATTTGCAGAGTTTGGCGATCCTCAAGGACAAAGAGGAGGAGCAGGAGGGGGTTGTTCTGGAAGAGGGGAGAGAAATATAGTTAGACCACCTGCGCCCAGAGGGCTGGCGGGATTTGTTGCGTGTGCTTGGGCGGCGCAAGGAATAAGAGTTTGTTTTGGCATGGCTGTGCCGTCATTATCCGCGACTGTTTTTGTTGCGTTGCGTTTTCGTCGACATGTGATTCGGAAGCGCGTGAGATGCTGCATGTCTGGCCTAACCATATGTTGTGTGTTGGCATGTTTAGTGACGTGCTCGCACGATTCACGGTGATAGGTGTTTTGTATATTTGTCGGAGGAGTCCCTGCTTGTCCGTTGCCTGAGATGTCCTTCACAAACACGGACCTCACATTGCCGTTCTGCTTGTGTTGCCAGTCCGTCTTGAATAAGAGAAACATGTGTCGCGCGTGATTCTCCCCATGACGTAGAGGTCAGCGCGCTTCCCAACGTTTCGCGGAAAAAAAAGACATGATTCTGATACAGGGCTTGACCTGAACGCTGTTCTGCTGGACTTCGGCCGTGTTTTGTTTTCCGTGTTTGGCAGGGAGGTACAGGAAAACAGTCAGGGCAAAGCGAAACACATAAACCGAAAACAAACCGAACAGCAACGTTTAGGTCCAGCCCTGTCGTGGTACGTTTCGCGGCCTCCAAGAGTTAAACCTGCTCCACACGGGCGCCAGAAGCCTGTCCCACCAGATGCGGATGCCCCCGAACTCCCAGACCGCATCCCGAGCCGATCGTGCCACGATGATCATCGGGGCGTGTGGTGGCCTGGCGTCGAGGCAGTCAAAACGGCACGGTCTTACACTTTGGGATGCCCGCGCGGAGTTTTTTGGCTCTGCGTCGAAACCTCCTTGGCGGCGCCTCTGGCGCCGCCCGTGCGCGCCATGGAGGGAGGGCCCATCGCCGCTCCAAGAGAGCCGCGCGGACCTCCGAGAGTTAATGGTTATGCCGACGTTTCTTGTTCTGGTTTCCCCGTGCAGCTCCACCGATCGCATGCAGCATGTCTCGGCCTTCCTCACGCCGCCCGCCTTGTGCATCTGCAGTCAGCCCGCATAGCAAGAATGGACAACCTTCCCCAGGGTGCCCTCGCATCCTTGCCTCCTCGCTCCATCCTTGGCCACTTGCGTTGACCGCGCCCCGCTCGACAGGCTTCGAAGTGGGCGTCCAAGGCCCTTGCATCCTCATCGCGCATCTTTGCTATACGGGTTGATCAGGAGGGGAAAACACACAGACACCATTAATCGTCGATTCCCCAGAAAATATGGGGAAATATGGGCAGTGTGGGGGGGAAGACAGAAGCCCAGAAAATATGGAAACATGTGGGGAATCCTGTTCTTTGTGTGTATTTTTTTGTGTGTCCCAGGGCCCCTTCATATATGGGTTGACTGTGCGCACGGCGGCCTCGGTGGATTGGCACACCCTCGGCGCCAGCACGCGCCTCGAGGGCCACCTAGAGCCTCGAGGGCCTCGAGGGCCTCGGGAGCCTCAATGCCTCGACGTCGCCGTCGTCGCCCTCCGCCGCGCCGCCGTGCGGGAGGCAGCAGCACGCCCTCCCTCCTCCTCCTTGCTCCTCCTCTCTCTCCCTCGCCTCCTCCTCCTCCTCGTTCCTTCTCTCTCCTCCTTCGACTCCTGAAAATTCGAGCGCGGCAGAACGGGAGTGAGGCCTGAGCAGGGCAGGGCTGGCTTGTTAGTGGGGCTCTTGGTCACTCGTCCGCCTCGGTGTTCCACTCGGGCTGGGGTTTTGTGCTCGGACCCTTCATTGCAGTCATGTGTTTTTTGTCTCCAGTTGGCGGTCAATCAGGCCTGGATGTTCGTTTCAGCACGTGAAGCCATTGGTCCTTTGTATCGGGAGGAGGAGGAGGCGGGGAACAGCACTCGGACATATATGATGCCAGGGGTCGACTTGGCGATTTCGACCCATGCGGTGTTTTGGCGACTTCGTGGGCCGGGTTCGTTTTGGTTATTATTTCTTTTTGCAGCAGAGGCGGACTGAGAACAACACGATGGAAAGCGAAAGCAGAACGAAAACGGAGCAAACATGTTTAGGGCCACCCCTGTTCGATGCCCAGTGGAGGTCTCCGAAGACCGCGAGGGAGCAGTGAGACGGGGACTTCCAATCCAATCCTTCTGCTCCCTCCCTCCCTCCTCCTCCCCCTCCCGCCCTCCCCCCTTCCCTCCGTCCCCTCCCTCTTTCCCCTCCCTCCTCCCTCTCCTCTCCCCCTCCCTCCCTCCCGCCCTCCCTCCTTCTCCTCCTCCTCCATCCCTCCCTTCCTCCCTCCCTCCCTCCTCCAGAGGAAGGGGAGGGAGAGAGGGATTGGAGATGCCCATGAATCCTCTCATGTCGTCTTCGTCAGCCTGTCGTGTTCCGCTGGTCGGCCACACTTGGGACGAAGAGAGCCCGGGTCGAATTGTGACTGCAGTCTCGATCAGTACGCGACATCCGCCTTCGACATGGAATTGCGCCGTTTGGGTGCGGCAGTGGGCAGCATGCGATGCTATCGATACCCCAAGTGGTGTCCTCCGCCTCCTTGGAGTCGAAAGTTATGTAATGATGTCCGTGTGTGTGTGTGTGTGTGTGTGTATGTGTGTGTGTGTGTGTGAAGTCCGCTTACTTCCCTATTTCATCCCTACCGCAACTGTATGGGCTCATGTATCGTCAATTGCAAGGGGGGGGGTCTCCGCCGACGCCGCGCGAGGGCATGTCGCGAGTTGCGCGTGGTGATGGCGGGGGCGCCTGTGCATTGCGGAGTTGCGTATTTCCTCGATGGAGCAACTGCGCGTGCGGGGCATTGTGTATCCGCGTGCGCGAGTTCGGTGAACGGCGAGGAGCAGCGGTTGGTACGGGGATAAGGAGAAGCGAACTACCCGCGGCGTCCTGCGGGGGCGGCGGAGTGGCAACCTACAGAAGGTTTGAAAGTCTGCATGCTCGTGCATGGGCGCGTGGAGACACCCGGCGAACAACCGAGCAGATTGCCCCGCCGATCGGGAGGCGCCGATGGGCGCCTACAGAGCGAAGGGCCACGCGAATGACATGGGGGGGGCGGCCTTGATGGGCCAGACCAGACGGGCCCGAGTGGAGTTGCACGGGCCGGGGTGGCGCGCGCCGCGGAGCAGTTCGGCCAGGGCGAAGCAGCAGTGGAGAAGGCGCGGGGCGCGGGGGGGCGGGCGCGGGCGGGGTGGGCGCTGTCTGACCCGGGGGGCCTGGTAGGCCTGCTGGCAACGGGGAACGAAGAGGGCGCGGTCAAATGCGAGGAGTCGGGGCAGCGCGTCGCGCGGGCTGGGCAAGCGCCGCTGTCCGCGATGCGGTGGCGGCGGCAGGGCGGCGTGGCGCGGGGGTGCGGGGGGGGGGTGCGAGCGGCGGCGGGGGCGGGGATCGGATGGGGGAGAAAGCGCTCGTGGCGGCGTGGACAAAGAGAGGGTGCGTTGACGGCGGGGCAGCGGGCGTAGAGAGTGGCGCGCGCGAGAGAGGAGCGGAGGGAGTGGGGGGCGACGCGGAGAGGCAAGAGCAGAGAGCGACAAGAGGCGCGGCGGCAGAGCTCCACGTGCGCGGGCCTGGGGCAGGCACGACAGATGGAGCGAAGGCGCAACCTGGCCCCGAAGCAAATGCTGGGGTCGTCGCAAGCGGCGACGAGGGCGTGCCCGCCGCGGACGCGATGCAGACGGCATTCTGTGAGGTCCGAGTGGGCGGTGCATCGAAGGGCCCGCGCACGGCGCGCGAGCTGCTCGAGGCAGATGCTGCCGCGCACTTGCGCCGTCGCCCGGCGGTGCCAGCGGGCCTGGCAGATCAC